ATACAGAATTGTAGCGTTTTCAGAAATAGTTATATTTTTATGTTGTGTGGACGGAAGGCATTTAAGCCTTTATGATATTATAACAGAACTACAATATACAATATATTAAAATGAAATAAAAATGGAGAGGGAAAATTATAGTAAAATTACTTTTGAACGACAAAACCAAACAAATTAAGGGCATCGTAATCTGTTAAGAGGAATAATATAGATTAAAATAGCTTTACGTTTGGTTATATTAAATTTAAATTTAAACACTACAGAAAACTTAGAGTAAATAAAATATAAAAAAATAACTGGCTACTGGTAAAATACTATACAAGGATTGTTAAAAATATAATAAAAATTATGAGTAAAAAGGACTAAACCGGTATTACATAATACGATAGCTTATGAAGGAAAGATATAGAGCCAACCTGCTGCCCTCTTCATCATCTCGCGGCTTGTATGTGTTAGGCTTACGTAGAAAGATACATTCCAGTATGTATAGAGTTTAATGTACGTTATTACTTATAGCAACACATATCTAACAATAACATGACTACAACAAATATTTATCAGCGACAAATTTTTCTCTATAAATAATATAATTATTTAAAAAAGAAAACAGCAGAAAAAGAAAGAAAAACAATATTATCATTTTATGATATTGAAGAAAATATTGAATAAGATATTAAATTAAAAAAATATTTTGTGGAATGTCTCTGTATTTATAGAATGTATGTTTGAAGAAAGCAGAGTGTTATCAGTGTGTATGTGTGTATGTGTGTATTTCTTTCTTCTCTGTATTATTGCAATTTTCAGCTTTTTAAATCTGTTTTTTTCCAAAATTTTGACCAAAGATCCAAATTTAATGACTCTAAAAATTTACGAATACCTTATTTTACATTCTATATATAGAAAGTAATATTCCTAATAAAAGTAAAAGTCTTTTTGAAATGATACCTACATATATGCATTATACACAAGGACTTTGATCGGAATCGAAACCGATAACCGACAACCGTTTGTTTTAATCAAACTGAACCAGGAACCGAAATTTCGTAAAGTTTATAATACCAGAACCGGAACCGGGTCAGTAAAATTATTTTCGGTTTTTACGGCTTGTTTCGGTTCCTGCTCTATACTTTATTACTCTTATTTGTTAAATTTTTTATTTGTTATATCGTTCTTCTTTCTTCTTTATGTTACATAATTTATAGTGGCTCTTGCAATACATTCATGCAATGAGGACCATAGCACAAAAAACGTAAGTAGTAAGACTTCGGCAGTGAATAAATTGAGTAATTACAGTCATTATTCTCGAGAAAATTCGACGGTGATTGACCAATTTGCTTACTGTTTAAGTCTTACTTAAACTATTATACACGCAATGGATATAAAACAAAAAATGAAAAACGAGTTGATGAAGCTTTTACATGCTTACATTTTTCTCGCAAAATATTATTTTGATGAAATAAAACTGTAAATTCTGTTTTTTTATTTTAGAAAATTATAGAAAAATAATTATAAAACAGATTTTACATTAAATACTGCCAAAAAAAAATTTAAATTAAGTTTTACATTCAATATTTCTAAAAAAATCTTTTATGTTTTAAAAAATAGATTACATTTATGTTAAAATGTAATAATGTTAAAATGTAACAAACATATTAAAATGTAATGAGTTATTTTCTAAGTGTGAATCAAATGTTATAAAAAATAAGAATCTGTTACTTAATGCATTTATAAATTGTATGCATGCACTTTTGTCGCGTATTTCTTTTGTATACTTTTGAAAATTAACCAAACTTTTTATATCCGTTTCTAACGCGGATATTTCTTTCTTAAATTTTTGTTTTTGATTTATAAATTTATTAATTGTGTAATTTATTAATTGTGTAATTGTTAATGTTTCACTCAAATATTAATTTTAATTTAAATTAATTGTGTTAAAAAAAATTTTAGAAAAACCATAATTGGAACCGAAAAAACCATTATTTAAAGGGTTCCGGTTCTTTTTTATTAACTAAAAAACTGAAACTGGAACCGGAACAGTTATTAAATATTTTATTGGACTGTATCCGTAAACCGAACCGAAATATCATATCAGTTTGAGTTTCTGATTATAATAATTTTAAGGTTTAATTAAACGGCTGTTTGTAGATTTACAGATTTTCTAAAATATTTACGAAATATACTGGTGTAATTTTGTGATGTTTTAATTAATATAAATTGTGCGAAAAAAAATCAACAACATTATGTCTGTAATTACGGATAGGCAGATGGTTAGCGACGGTATTTTGACACATAACCATTGCTGGCGGTTATACGCATTTCGTGCGTGGTCTTTCAACATATGCACCCTTAGTGTTTCCAACGGACTTTGGACAAGGAATTTTTCGCATATTGCATCGATGATTGTAATAATATGGGTTTTAAAATACGTCAGTGGTTTTGAACGTTACAGTGAGTCAAAATTACTATTGCATTTGCCGTGAAAATGTTAATTTGTAGTAAAGTTTCCTTGATAAAAATTTAACTATAAGTGCCATTTGTGCTTACAATATTATCAATTTTAATATTTTAAAGTTGTTTCTAATTAATTCTCAAATTAATCGAAGAATAAAGCTTATCCATTGTTTTATTTGTATATTTCGAAACAAGTACTGTAATACATTTAAAGTGTACATGAAAGTTTATGCCGATATATTATAATTCATGAGCTATTGATTCATATAAATTTTACAAATTTTTGTTAAGGAAAAATTTATTTCAAACTGAAACTGAAATAATAAAAAAGAAAGTGCAAAACATTTGAAACACAGTTTAAGATTCGTACATTGTCGAGATATATTTGTACATATATTTGTGCGAAAAAGTGTGTCTGTAATTTTGCTGACGAAGGGAAATCTGCGTGGCTATATATATAAAATATCGGAGAAATTCCATGTCGCTAAACCGTTAGACTGTAACCTCTTCAAGGTGTTATGCATATAAAAAGTACTTACAGATACACATGAATAAATATCCATATTCTACTGTTACGAAGTTATCTCATTTTTCTTTCCATCGTTATTAAATTTAAAAACAATTGAAGTCTACAAATAGTTATCTTAAAGTCAAGAAAATCTTTGATAAATTGGAGATTAAAAAAACGTACATAGATTTTGCAATGATTAGATGTTAGATCTCGATATTATGAATAGAATGTTGCAGGGCCGCCGCAAGAGAGAGCCGGTGTGCAAGTTGTGCAAAGGCGTATTAACAAGGAGGACGACAAATTAAATTAAAAAAATCACTTTTCCATTCCTAACATCAATTACGTGTGCTTGCTTCAGATATAATTTTTTTCAAAACAAGTACTATAAATCAATTTAGAGAAACCATATCGTAAAATCTAAGACCATTGGTCGAAGAGATAGTTGTTTATTTTCCGGCGTCTCTAAAATCTTTCTGTACGCATACAGCTGTGCCGAAACATTTTAGTACTAGGAGCAAACATGAAAAATTGCGCTTTTTCTAAAATTATTTAAATAAATTATTTAAAAAATATTTTATTTATTATTATAATTGAAAGTGTAGTTCTATTTTTTTTATTAAAAAATTGGTAAATAATAATATTAATAGGGGGAGAGGAAGCATTAAAATGCCTTTTGCACAAAGGCGCCTTATATGCCAGCAGCAACCTTGAATGTGGTTGTGCACAAGGTTATTACAAAAGATTTGAACATGAAAAAAGTGTATGCAAAGATTGTTCCGAAAAATTTAAATGACAAAGCAGGTCGATAAGAAATCGAAAAAAAAACTTGAATGATAAAGAATGATCTATAACTACATTTTTAATTTTTTTATATGTTTGGTGGGATTCTTTTTCAGTTTTACACAATGCTTTATCTTATTTCTTTTATATATATGTACATAAGTTATATGTACAAAAGTTTTTTTTGAGAAATGCGTGTATATTTGTTGTCTTTTTTTCAAAAAGATAAATTTTTAATAATATTGTGTGTGTAGCTTTTCTTTAAAAAAAGATTATTATACAATAATGTTCAATGAATTTGATGAATACATTTCTAAAATGAAATAACCCATTAATCTTGGACAATCAATATTTTGTTTTACTATCTATAAATTATTTTATTATGTGTTATGTATGAATGAATACGTCCAAAAGATGAGATATATTTTGAATAGAGTCATTTTAATAATTCAACAACATAGGAATCTCTTTATCGGATAAAATGTCGATATTGCTAGATAATTATAAGAAGTACAGTTTGTTATCGATGTTGATATTGTGCGCGGTGTATTAAGAAAATTATAGATTAGATATTTCACAATCCAACATTATCCGACTATATAAGGAAATATCAGTCAAGCAATATTGTTTTTTAAAGAATGAAAGTTAATGTCAAATCATACAACATTATTTGTTGATTTTCTTTATAGAGAAGTAATGTTTTAATATTCGAAATAAAATTATTTCTTTAAAATAAAACAAATGGCATTATAAGTATATAACTTATATATGTTACTCAATATAATTTATATTATTTTTTTATATTATTACTTTGTATATAAATATTTTATAAAACTAAATGATTAATTTGCCATATCAATATCTTGCACAAAAGATTGTTTATGATTTATATTAATGTTTATATAAATGTTCGACATTTCCTATTTATTTTTTCATGTAGAATCTCTATTTCTTTCAATATACCATCAATAACAAAAAAGTCTGTATAATTGATAAGAATTGAAATAACTCTGAAAGTGTATTATTTTCTACATATTTCTACCGCGTAGAAGCCGGTGAACGGTCGAAATCGAATCGAGCAGCTGATCTGTCATCAATGCTCCAGGTGCGTCGGCCTTGTCGCTTTACGCGAACACATCCGAACGCGACCGAACGTCAGCGAGGTCGACCGAAGATGTGACGGATGGTCGCGCAACGGCGAGCGGCGAGCAGGCGAAATTTGCCGAAGTGTTCCGGCGCGAAAGCCGTTACCTGTGGTTACTTGTTGGTCAGTTGCAGAACGACAGTTCGTGAGGTAGTCCATGTATGGATTTTTAGTAAACGCACGTGTGCCGCGCCTTTTCACGATAAACTTATCACGTAATTATTATTCGCAAACGCGCTACATCATTGCATGACATTCTCGTGTTGTATAACTATCGCGTAATGAACAAATAGATAGAAGTAAAGAGGATTATTGCGCTTATTCAATGCAGTAACATTTTTTTTTAGCCAGAGATGTACGCGATTGGTAAAAAACTGTTTATCTTATAACGTGTTTATTACGGGAGCAGTGACAGTGACAAAACTAGAATTTATAGTGAATCTGTTCTTCTTTAAAATTTCCGAGTGGCTCACGGATGACTGGATAACATGATAGAATAACACACAATTTTGGATTTTGAGGTAAAATTACAAACATTTTTTATAGGAGTTATATATATTTAGAATATATATACTCGATTATAATTATCAGAATAATATGCTGTAAATATTAATATGCTTTAAATCGAAAACGGTACATGGAATATTTCATCTTAAATATGCAAAGATACACATACATTCTGCGAAAGTAATATCTCTATACACACACTCGGTGAACGTAAACATCATATTTCTATGTAAAATTGATTATTTAAAATCATAATATCGTATTCGGTAGTAAATATAATAGGAGTTTATTATTAAAATATAATTAATCAAGTATAATATACGAAATAATAATAAATAATGTAATATTTTTCTATAATAATATATTTATCAATTATATATTTATTGATATTTTGTATTTACTGTGTAAATATGTTATCACATCCTTTTGGAGTAAAAATAGTCTGTTATAACAACGCATAATAATGTAAAATTAATGATTTTATTTTTAAATTAAATTTTATTTTATATTAAAAATGAATATTTTGCATGTTACATGCAACAAAAAGCTTTTTGCTATAAATGTCTGTCAAATATTTTGAGATGTTTACAAGAGAGATACAAGGAACAATAATTAATGCGCTCTTATCATTAAATACTTTGTATAGATTATTGCTTTGTTCATATATGATCTATACCTAGTTGTCAAGATAACGCGAATAATAGAACCGATTGTTTCATCGATATATTATTTAAGATATTAGCGTTATTGATTTCTTATCGAAAATAGTAGTTGCTTTTTTCTGAAGCCGATAAGCATTGCTATCATGTATTTTTATTTGATTTGCTTATTTCAGCAGTAACAAAAATATTTTGTGTGTGGGGGGGGGGGGTGCGCGTGCGTGCGTGTGCGAATAGATATCATATTTATAAAATACAATAAATTTAATGTTTGCTCATTATAACTATATTACGTTTTCTCTAAAATTTTTTTATGATGTTTGCTTTTTTATATTAATACTGATGAATTAATATAATATTATATAATATTTATTAATAATATTTATTTACATATAAAAATAAGAAATAAATGCACGTTGAAACCTGTTTTTGTCGACTTATTTTCGATTCGGAGCCAAAGTTGGCATTTCAAGAAAGAATTTGCTCCGTTTCGCCACATGATATTTATATTTATATATGGTGCTTAATATCTCTTTGTCTATCACATTAAACATAGTTTGACCTTTTAAACACAATTTTTGTTTTTGCAGGAAAATTTTTTTCTTGATATATTTTAATCTTAGAATCTTTTAAATAATCTATCGAATTGATATAATACTAGACTTTGTCGAGTCGTCGCAGTTGTTGATGCGAAAATTTATTATTTTTTTATTTTTCACATAAAAACTTATTCGTCTACATCGAGACGTTAAATTGTTCATCGATTTCAGATTGAGATACTTGGAGTGTACGAAAATTAAGTACATTGATCTCACATCGGAGAATCAGAATGTACGAATTAAATGGGAAATTATTAAAAGAAAAAAGGAAGATGGAGAGAAAAAATATCAGGGCGCAAGTGGCTAAGCCGGCCTTTTAAATAACATCTTTAAAAACGATTAAAATTCCAGAAAATTGTCTTTTTCTTACTGAAAGAAAATAATTTATTTTGTGCAAAATTGCTTTAAAAATAAAAAATAATTTAATGTTTTCTACTTTTGCTAGATTTAAATCTTCTGAAATATTCGACATTATATATAAAAAACACATTATTGATTATTATTTACGATTGTTTATCGTTATGAACTTGCTCAACTCTTTTGCTAGTGTTTGAAATTTTAATTTTATCTAAAAAGAATGAACGGAATGAATGGTGTAAATTTTTATATTTGGCCTTGATATATCAGTTTGTGTATGATATGACACACCCGTGTTATGTTTAAATATAATCATTTACGGTTATTGCCAAGCAGTCCATTAATTTCGCAAAGGTATCTGACAACTGGTGACTACGCATACAAAACACACAGCTGACTCGTTAAGAATAACAATTGCAAGATCGCTACAACGCACTTATTTTGCATTTATTACATCTTATTACATTTTAGATTGATATCTCGAGTGTGTTTATATAATTTATTTTAGTGATACTATAGAAAAGAAAGAAATATATATAGAAATATATTTACTATAATAATGAATAAATTGTTTTTTTTTTACTTTAATAAGAAATATGCTAAATAAGAAATCGATAATACAATAAAACAGCAAAATTTGTATGATATCGACGACTTATTTTTTTTCTCGTATATTACTGACAATTAGCTCTACATCGACTGTTTTCACTTTCAAAGTAATCTCTTTATGATGTAATACACAAAACCAGTTTTTTTTTCATGCCTGATGGCATTCCTGGAACTCATTTTTTATTTGGGATTATTTTATAATTACGTAACCACTGTCTTCGACATTGATCAAAATATCTTGATAAAAATTGCAAATAATAGAAACTTTTTATTAATGCATAAAAAAGAAATTGTTAATAATATTAAAATTTAAATCTTTAATATTATTCTACTTTACTAAAACAAATAATCTTAAACCTCAATAAATTTAATTTTGTAATTTGCGACATTCAACCAGACTTGCACGTTTTTATTATTATAATAAATAGTACATTTTGTCGAAATATATTTTATAAATGTATAAACGTATAAACTGGTAGTCTCGAAATACAGTTCTAATAGCGCGATCGCTAATTCGAATGAATGTTTTTGTGAATATTCCTTGTGCCACAATACCTAAGTATGTTGATATCATGTGTCAATTTAAACAGTATGTTATCTGTGCCGCGTTTCTTCGTGTTTAAACTACGATTTTAATTTACGGTCGACAAACAAGTGGCGGTTTTCTCTCAACGAGATATTCGTGTTGCGATTTTTTCCGCTATAATCTTGTCGCTGTACTGTTAAGAAACCGGTTGTAATCAGTTTTAATTGTACCTTTTCCCGACTCCAACTTCCGTTATTGATTTTCGTGGTGTGGATACAGATTTTATTATGCGATGTGATTAGCCAGCCATCTCGTACGCGCAAACTATCTTAAAATACACTTTTCAAACAGATTTTATATAGTAAATTATTTTATAAAAATTATATTGTATAAAAGCTCGACTGATAGAAGCATAAGCAGGTGAAATTTCCGGAGTAATAGAGCGTTGGCAGTTTAGCGTAATCACAGAACCGAATCAACCGTAAGCCTTTAATTAGCGACGCCTTAATCAGCTTTCACAGTTTTTTCGTTGCGTTGTGATCTCGAGCCTTCGACGCAGTTACACGTACCTATATATATAATTGCAATATAATTGTACATCTAATGCGCGGCGATCATATCTTTCTTTTTCTACGATTGTAAACCTACGAGACCATATCGGGAACCAATAGCCTTTAATTAGAATCGCGGTATGCGCTTCCGCAATTGTCCCGTGGAACACGAAGACGCTTCATAGCTCTCGCAACATAATATTTGCATGCCTTCGTTTGAGGTAAATATTATTTACCTATTTCTAACGAATTCGTTTTTCTTTTATTTAATTTGCGTGCTTTCGTTTCGCATATACATATGTGTACTGAAATACTCATACAAAATAAAGATATTAATAATTATATTAATTATAATAATTAAATAATAGCAATAAAACTTGATGTACAAATTATTTAAAATGATTTTTTCGAAACATATTTTTTTATAAATAAAATATATAGATACATTATTTTATTTTAATAAATTTTATATGCTTTTATGTTTTCTTTTCTCAGAAATAGAAAGTTATTACAAAGTACCGACTGAATGTAATGTAGTTTGATTAACTCCTTTTATCCGTATGATGCAACTATACACATGTAAATTTGATGATTATCACTCCTTCCGAATCATGCGTTTGTGTACCATTACGTCTGTACGCGCACCTCAGACTACGTACATTCGAATCTATGTGTGCTTGGGGTTTGCATAACTTCCGATTACCAACCCGCGATCTCAGAAAACAGGGACTGAGTATTTCTTTTACCTGTCTCTTACCGCTGCGAGAATGAAAATATTATAGTTTCTACATGCTGTTGTAGAATTTTCTGCAATATAAATGCAGATTTTTCTTTAGGATTTACATTCTATTATTCTTGAATTCACCATTTTTATTTTCTACCATTACTCTACATGGCGCAATAATTTCTCTATTGAAAGTAGTCAAGTGCAAATTAATACACAATGTAAGAGTATCTTAATGGTCGTATCTTGTCAACGAAGCCGATTGACCGGCATTTGACCGGTCAAAAGGTTAGGTTTTTCTTGCGTACACGGAAAAAAAGAATTTCCTGGCATAGCAAATTTTACGCTGTTATAGCAAAACATGTTAATTATTATATGGATAGTAAAGAGATTTGTTACTAATTTTATTTGCTGCAAATAATTTTGCTAAATCTACAAATTATATCGCTATTATAACAAATTGATTTTTACTTTGCCATTAAAATTTGCATTGGCAGCAACAATTTTGCTGCATTAGCAAAATACATTTGTTAGAAATAAATTATTTTGTTGTAGCGGCAAATTAATGTGTCTTTACGAACAAATGTACTCAACAAAATTCATTTATTCTACCAGCAAAATAGATTTTGCTGATATATCGAATACTTTGAAAAATTAGTTATGGTAGCAAAGTTTTGTTGCTATCACATCTAATATACAATAGTAACGACGATTTTGCAGCGATAGCAAAATTCTTTTTTTCCGTGTATTCTTAGCGCTCCCCGTGTTCTACCTATCCTACGACTTTGTCAAGGTGGAAACTTCTTAGGGGGAAAAAAAATTGAATATTTATTTAAAAAAATGTTCAATTTATATGATATTTCTATATATGTTGGGCAGAAAGATTTATTATCTATGCAATGCATCGATTTGCGAAGTGAATATAATTTACGACGATCAGGTACTTACTGATTCTTGCATTTACATTTAAAATACATACGAATAGTTATATAACAACTATTCTGTGTGCGAACATATATGAATTATACAACAGATAACACCATTCTTGAAACACAATCGTATATTCATAATTTGGATTATACGCACAATTATATTCAAAATAAAACATTATTTGTATGCATCATTCATTATACAAATGGATCTCTTATTAAACTTTCAGTAAGTGCAAAATAATCTCCTTTAGTAGAGTTCTTATATTTTATAATTTTTATCTTCTTTAGTGTCTTTTGCGTCTTCAAATTGAAAAGTATTTCAATCGTTAAAATCATATTTATAATCAATCTATGACTGTAGAAATTACGCACTATGTATGCATACGTTCACATATTTAAAATGATAAATTTGATAATTTTTAATAAAATTTATCGAGTTTTATATAAATGTAAAAAATTGTATTATTTTATATTTATGATTAAATATGTCTGTAGCGCCATTTATATAAAAAGTTGCATCTGTCTTCTAAAATAGTTAGACTAGACAATTTTCAAAATTTTTGCGTTTTTTTAAAAGTATCATAAATATAACTAATTAAAAAACATTTTAGTTAAGAAATATATTTTGTTTCAGGAGCAGAGAGGAGAAGTCATCTAGAATGGTTCTCACTGTGACTGAAAATACTCCGGCAGACATGTTAGCCGGAAGTATGGAGCTTCTAGTTCAACTGCCTCACGATCACTATCTTCGTACGCAGAGAGTCACAGTATTAAGGAGGTACAAAGCACATGCGAAAAAAAATATGTGTCTCCTATTTGTAGCTACTGCTCATTGTTGACTATGTGCTATAATTTTTTAAAGATTTTTGTAATTGAAAATTAGTATTTGTATAACACGCATTGTGTTTATCAATGCATTCTTGAATAAAAAAAACTTTAATGCAGTACACCGATGATGGATCTTCTGGTGCAAATTGCAACGGCTCACAAATTAACAGCTTCGAATTATACACTTCAAGCGATCGGCGAACATGGCTTGGTTTTATCTCATCATCCGAATACTCCTATAGGAGCATTGGACGCTCTTCAGGTAACTAACAATTTAATTTGTACAAAGATAATATATTTCTGATTACAAATTTACTATTTTTTGTGGTTCCTAAATATATAAACTTGAAAACAATTGTATGTTGTCTACAAAAAATCCCGCACGATTCGTCACAAGCAACGGGTAATGGTAGGCCAGCGCTATGGCACTGCTATTTCCGGCTCAATGTACACGCTTTATGTTCGTAGAAGTGTTTGTACGTATGTGCGTGTATGCGTGTATATTATTATTATTTATTAATCTCTACAGACGTACATTCGTAAAGACATATTAAATGAAAGCAGTAATTATAAAAGATATATAATTATTTTTCTATTTCATTTCTCGCTGGGTTATTTTACTGATTTATATTTTTAGCATCGGCGATATTATGCAATAGAGTTGTACTGAGATATTTAATTATTAGTTGATATTTGATTATGGTTGTGCATACTCTAAAAACCAAAGAACGCTCGCTACATGAGCGCATGATCCTAATGTCCTAGCATTATTCGGACAAGTGTAATAGTATCCTAAAATTGGATTATTTTTTTCATTATTGTTATCTTCGAACTCGCGTAAGCGATCCAGATTTGATATTTAGTTGCTGCACGAAACCTGGTAAAAAGTCTGGAACATACGTCTGTGCAGATTAACAAATAAAAATAACATACACGCATACGCACAAATACTTCTACAAACATAAAGCATGTACGTCGAGCGCCGGGAATAGCAGTGCCGTAGAGCTAACTTATCAGTACTCAGTGCTTGTGACGATGATTTTCAAGTGCCTATAACTCAAAAACTGTGCATAAAAAAGTTCTGTGCCCATTTTTTGATCAAAGACACAAGAACTATATCGTTATCACAAGTTCATACAATTTGACTGAAAACGTTTTCCCGCAAGAATCGTGCGAAGTTCTTTTACATTTTGATGAAATATAAGCGCTTTAGCCTCAGCTCATAAATGGAGCGTTATTATCATCGACTTATGTAATCAATCAGTTACTTACTTTGGATTTTACCATCAGTCCACAAGACGCATTGCTTCTTGAATAAAAAGCAATTAATTAGAATTCCAAGTCAAACCAGTCGTATGCAACTGATTTCATTGCATTGCATTGTTTTATCCGCATAAATAGACAATTGCATACGAGTTCCAATTTTACTGTCGTAGATTCACGCGAAGTCGCTGTGCCGCTTTTTTTTGTTGATTTTTCCGGTTTTTTGTACTTGAACAGCAGTCAGCGCTGTTAATGATCCTAACAATTTTCCCAGCGCGTGTCACATGAATTTCTACACGAGAACGCACTTTCTAACGACGATTCTTTTAACGTTCACTCGCTGACTTCGCATGCTAGATTAAACCTTTCGCACTTCAATTCCCGGTACCAACCGTTATACTTTCTCTAAGATATAAGAAT